TTTATTCAATAATGTGGATTGAATTTATCCAATAATCTTGTTGGAATTCAGAATATTAAACTTTTGAGATTAGATGGAAAAAATTTTAGATGACTTGGTGCTGGCGAATTCAGTATTATTAACCAGAAAATTTGATAAATTTAACAGGACGAAATTAATCAGATTCATCTGGTAATTTGTACAAGAATTCTGGTTCGTCCATTTTCCAACAGACATACTGGTTGAATCTACCAGAATTCTAATTAATGCGACCAGATTTTTTCTCAGTACGAATAATTAAATAATATTTAATTCTTGCATCACTGTTCATCAGTTTAATTTCTAACAAACTGAATTTAAAATAATTTATTCAATAATGTGGATTGAATTTATCTAATAATCTTGTTGGAATTCAGAATATTAAACTTTTGAGATTAGATGGAAAAAATTTTAGATGACTTGGTGCTGGCGAATTCAGTATTATTAACCAGAAAATTTGGTAAATTTAACAGGACGAAATTAATTAGATTCATCTGGTAATTTGTACAAGAATTCTGGTTCGTCCATTTTCTAACAGACTTACTGGTTGAATCTACCAGAATTCTAATTAATGCGACCAGATTTTTTTCTCAGTACGAATAATTAAATAATATTTAATTCTTGCATCACTGTTCATCAGTTTAATTTCTAACAAACTGAATTTAAAATAATTTATTCAATAATGTGGATTGAATTTATCTAATAATCTTGTTGGAATTCAGAATATTAAACTTTTGAGATTAGATGGAAAAAATTTTAGATGACTTGGTGCTGGCGAATTTAGTATTATTAACCAGAAAATTTGGTAAATTTAACAGGAAGAAATTAATCAGATTCATCTGGTAATTCCTTCAAGAATTCTGATTCCTCCATTTTTCAACAGACATACTGGTTGAATCTACCAGAATTCTAATTAATGCGACCAGATTTTTTCTCAGTACGAATAATTAAATAATATTTAATTCTTGCATCACTGTTCATCAGTTTAATTTCTAACAAACTGAATTTAAAATAATTTATTCAATAATCTGGATTGAATTTATCCAATAATCTTGTTGGAATTCAGAATATTAAATAGACTTTTGAGATTAAATGAAAAAAATTTTAGACGACTTGGTGCTGGCGAGTTTAGTATTATTAACCAGAAAATTTGATAAATTTAATAGGAAGAAATTAATCAGATTCATCTAATAATTCCTACAAGAATTCTGATTCGTCCATTTTCTAACAGGCTTACTGGTTGAATCTACCAAAATTCTAATTAATGTAACCAGATTTTTTTCTCAGTGTATGATTAGATTTTTTCATTATAAGGTGGTTAATGCGATCCGCTCTAATGGCAAATGTTTTGTAAGCGACAATTCGGCAATAGCGTTAAATTAATAAATTTTGACGGCCTCGTATCGGACGTTCAATTTCCTGAAAATTACGTTTTCGTTATTATCGCACACACAGAATCCCGCCCTTTCCCCCCGGCGGCGCGTATCGATTTTTCCTTTTCCCGGGTCAGCGGCTTGGTTGGCACATCGCGAATGCGTTCGGCGTACGCGTATCGAGAGATATTGACGTGTAGGAAATTGAAATAAATTATTCCTCGTTATGCAGAGCGCGCGTTGTAGATAACCGCGCTAATGGATCAATCGATCATTCACATAGGCGCATAACGATTGGACGATTCACAAGAATATCAGTGGTAAATTCGCAATCTCGATATCTCGTATCGTCGATGTTGCGAATACATCTATTGTAAATATCGCGCGGATGCAAATTATGAGGCACCATATCTCTTGATGTTTGCCAGACGCTTTTTCTCTTATAAAGAAATTCAATTATACTAATAAAAAATTATAGTTGAAATTATCATAATTTCAGTATAATTTATAGTATCTTAAGGCGCCAGGCATATATAATAGTGCATTTTACTATAAAATAATATAGTTGATATAAAATGAAAATATAGTTCGTAAAATCATAATATCCATTTCATGTAACCATATGATTAGGGTATACGTAGTGTTCTGAAATTCACTGTCAGTACTGAAAATCTGTAATACATGTTACGTATATTACAGATTTTTAATATACGCAGCACCAATCGTTTAAAAGTTTTTTTCCGTCTATAATTTCAAATAATCTGTTTAATATTCTGAATCCTAACAAGGAATCCAGATTATTAAATAAATTATTTTTAATTCAGTTTGTCTGAAATTAAACAGTGATATGTCAGAAAGAGCTCACATGCATACAATCTGAGAACCTGGCGTGTGAGTAGCATCCTCTTTCTCGCGCTACTGCTAAGAGGAAAGAAATATACTTTAGATCTTATGTGTTTAATACTAGTCCTTTTTATACATTTATGCTAAATATTGAATACGAGAAAAGTTAAGAGTAGTGCACCGCGTAACGGCAAATGAAGAAACATGTGCCACATACAATCATTCCAAATAATAAGTTTTATGTTGTTAAATGTGCTATTCATCAGGTTCCACGTACTATTTAGATACAGCTGTTATTATAATTTTTTTCATTTATTACTACTATATTAATATCTAGAGAAAGATAATAATATTTACCATTATTAATGTTACAATGACTATATGAATAATAAAATTATATGTATCATTCCTTTCTTTCATTTTTTACTTATATAATAGGAAATTATTATAAAAAGTTCATTGTTTCTCGGTACCATAGTATACAGGGTGTCCCATTTTAATGTCCCATCCCAAATAACTTTCTTATTTTTAATTTTAGAAAAAGATGTTTCAGACAAAAATTGTATGGTTTCTAGGGGGATATAAGATGGTGCCATTAGTTTGATCTTGAAGAGTCACATGAAGGTTACGTGAAGGTCATTTTGAATTTCTTAAATGGAACACCCAATATATTTTTGCATATTCTTGTAGCTTATCTCGAGAGCTTTCCAAAACACTATAAATAAATTTTTTCATCAAGTACTTTTCGAGTTATGAGGCTTGAAATCATTTCTTAATTTTACACAAACCATAAAATATCTTGTAAAATATTCATTTTTCGATGATCTTACCTTAATACTTTTATGTACAAAATAATGAGAGGAATCAATTGGTGTAAAGAAAATATATAGTTGTTTTTAAGAAAAAATATGGAATTGTTAATTGCAAATTACATATTTTTTCTTAAAAACAATTGTATGTTTTTTTTTCACCAATTGATTTCTCTCATTATTTTGTACATAAAAGTATGAAAGTAAGGTAATCGAAAAATGAATATTTTACAAGATATTTTATGGTTTATGTAAAATTAAGAAATGATTTCAAGTCTCATAACTCGAAAAGTACTTGATGAAAAAATGTTTATTTATAGTGTTTTGGAAAGCTCCCGAGATAAGCTACAAGAATGTACAAAAATATATAGGGTGTTCCATTTAAGAAATTCAAAATGACCTTCACGTAACCTTCATGTGACTCTTGAAGGTCAAACTAATGGCACCATTTTATGTCCCCCTAGAAACCATACAACTTTCCTCTGAAACATCTTTTTCTAAAATTAAAAATAAGAAAGTTATTTGAGGTGGGACATTAAAATGGGACACCTTGTATAGTTTATATTACCAGCATTATAATAAAATTTACTATAAAAATGAGTATCCTAACTATAATTTATTTATACCGTGCAATTATATAGTCAATTTTATCATCTATTTTTTTTATCAGCGTACATTTATTTACATTTTTATAATTGCACATTTGTATATAAACTAGCGAGAGGAGTTGTGATTTATAGCGGTTTTCGATTTTTTTATATTTCGCCGTTTGATTTATTTTTTATTTTTCGCTCCCGCGAGTCTGCGAAACTGGAGTTTCAGCAGAATAATCGCTCGGAGAAAATGAGAAATGAGAAATTGGAATATCGCTACGCACAGAAATGTAACTGCAGAAACTACTACGTCTGCCGCGCGAAGATCGTCTTCCTTAGAAATCCTTAAGGGCTCGTCAGGTCGGATGAGAATGAAGCGCTCGAAGCGAATTCCTCGATGCAAACAAACTACTTAATAGCTATTGTTACACAGAGCTTACCGGCGAGCTCTGTCGTCGTTCGCGAGGAAATTTCAGTTGCGACAAGAAAGAGTGAGAGAGAGAGAGAGAGGAAGAAGTTTCCGCCTCGAGCGGCACAATTTCCTCGTGTCGTCCGAAAGTCTCGGGAAAGTCGGATAAAATGGCCGTGTGGAGAAGGATCCGAGAGTACTTTTGTCGTACTTTCGTTGAAATGCACGATTCGAATCGCGAATGTAGCAGATGACGCGCTTCCCAACCGAAATTTTTTTTCTCGCGTCGAGAAGATTTGTCAAAGTTTGTATACGTATAACAGATGAACGCATACGAATAGTACGAATAGTACGAATACATAAGAGGCATGTGAACTGGCCAGTTTGCTTAGATAATTGTGGTATGGATATTCCACGATATTATATTGTTGGTAATTTTTGAAGAGATTTCTTCCTTAATAAAAGTTAATCGCAAATACCATCTCTCTTTTTTTTCGCTTTTATATATTTTAATATTTATATATAAATTATATTTATATATAAATATAATTTATATATTTAATTTATATATAAATTTTATATAAATATATTTATATATATAAATTATTCTATATATATATAAATATAATATATAAATATATATATAAATTATTCTATATATATAATTTATATATATATATATATATATATATATAAATTATATATATAGAAATTAAATATATATTAATTATATTTATATATAAATATTTAAATATTTGTATATAAATATTAAAATATATAAAATTTGTATATAAATATTAAAATATATAAAAGCGAAAAAAAAGAGAGATACCTTAAAATAAGAGAAATACCTTAAAATTTACCTTATATTTTATATATTTTATAATTTTTACTTTTGAATATTATAATGATTAAGCCGCAAATTAACGTTTTAAGGTAAAATGTCTGCTTGAAATTCAACAAAAAATAAGATTTTATTATCCATTTACAATGTTGAGCTCACAATTAGTTAATTTTTTAACTCGTTAGTTTTATAGCAAGTCCTCTTAGTCGCTTGTAATGAAAGGGAAATTAGCCCGGCACTTTTTTTAAGTTAAAATTAATTTTAAATTGTACAAGAAATTTGAAACAAGTAAAGAATAATAAGGATTGGTCTCGGAAAAGTCCAGTGAGTGAAAAAAAATGATAATTTTTTTATTTTTACTTGTCTTGGATTTTATCTAATGGAATAACCCGCCTAAAACCTATAAAAATAATTAATATGTGACATTAAAATATAATTTTATGTAAAAAAATATTTTTGCTTTAATTAATAAATCATATTAATTACTATTAATTTAAAAGGAATAAAATCAATCTCATAATAAAGTCTTTTTTAATTGAAATTTATATGTAAAGTTTTTAAAACAAAAACTTTTATATTAAATTTTTAATATTAAATTTAAATTTTTAATATTAAATTAATTATTTTTAATATTAAATTTAATATTTTTAATATTAAATTTTTAAAATTAATTTTTTAATTTAATAAGAAAATATAATAGTAATAATTAAAAATTTTTACCAATATAAATCTTTGCTTTTACTTGTCAACTCTTTTAGCAAAGAATTAATTTATTTGCTCTGCGATTCTTAATTTATTACAGATTTTATCTCAGACAAAACTTAAATCATAAACATTCAATTGATGAACGATAAAAAGATTTCCTATCTATTTTAACCTACTTAATAAAAAAAGATCAGTTTTCAACGATTTTCTCCGATTCTTCTTCATAGACTTTCTTTAAAAAATGTGGAATTTTGACAATCCGGAGAGTACTCTCTAAAAGTGAATCAGTGTATTATCAATGAAAAACAGTAAATAGTAAACAGTAAATCAGTGATATTTTATTGAAAGAATCAGTTAATAATTTTGACTGTTTCAATCAGTAATATTTCTCAATATCAGTAATATTTCTTTCGTTATTGTCAGTAATATTTAACTATAATTTATCTCTCTATCTATTTTATATAAAATTAAAAATTTTATTTATATTTACTAAATATTTATTATATTAAAAACTTTATTTATTTATATTACATGCATATTGAACTTGTTATTTATATGATTATGTATATACTCTATCTGGAGCAAAAATAAAATTCCCTAATTCTCTCAAATTATTGTAACAGATTTTATTTCAATTACCCTTTAGATAACAATCTTGCAATGTAAAGTTCTAAATTATTTATGTACGGTGCGGCAAGAGTTGCTCGTAAGAGAACGTTTTAAATACACTGTTGACAATTGAGATAAGCCATTTGGAGATCTCTTCCTCTATTAACGGAATCAATCTTTGAAGAAATTCCTCCTGATTGCTGCCTATAAGACCGCCAAGAATTTGGCCTAATTGACTTAGTTCATTTTCTTTCAAACCATATTGAGCGTCATATCCTTTAACATCGATATTTGATTTTAATTCCGATACATATAAATGTTCTATACCCTTTTTAATTGCCTTTGACGCTTGCATGATTATTTTTATACTTGCGTTATCTGGAAGAAGATATAATTTAATCGTCAATGAAACAATAGCTAGTTTTTTATCTTTTACATTGATACATAGGCACATATACACACATACAAATGTTTTTAAACTTCTATCTTAATTTAATATAAAACTAACTTTAATTTAATATAAAACTAACTATTTTAGATACCTGTAGTAAGATAAATAGGTGCCTTATAAGCAATAGGCACGAGTATATGTATGTCGATATCATACGTGCCATTTAAGTAAAGTCGATTGAATGAAGTGTCAATATTGAAAATAATCTTATCCAAATCTACAGAAATAGAGTTTACGATGAAATCACAAAGTCCCGTTATTTGTACATTATTTATATATATTTTGTTGTTGGCAGTTTCGGAAATGACTAATTTGTCAATATTGAGCGGCTCAAGTGGTGGAATATTTAAATCCGTAAGCCCTTCGCAAATTTTACTCTTTAAATTGTTCATATTGTCTTTGATGCATTGATTGAGATTCTGGCGCCCACACACGTTGATGTAGGAGGCTACAAAAGTTTAAAATCATTTCTGTTAACTTATAATATTAAATAAAAATCTGTTAAGGGATAACTTCAAATATTATAGTAACAATGTATTATATTTTTATTTTAATGTATTATATTTTATGTATTAATTTCTATTTAAATTTTTGAATAGTTATACATACTTAAAATAGTTTGTAACAATAAAGTATAAAATAAATGATTTTAATCTCTCTCTCTTTTTCTTTCTTTTTTTTTCTCTAGCATTAAATTTATTTTAATCCTAAAAAGATTAATTAAAATCGAAAATAATAAATTAACATAAAAATATCAAACTCACAATGATTTTCAAGTTATAAATGATAAAAAGTTATATTTGATATAAATGATAAACATGAACATGAATTTGCAAGATTAAAAAA